ATCTATCTATCTATCTATCTATCTATCTATCTATCTATCTATCTATCAGGTTTTTTAGAGGCAGGATGCTGCCCTGGCTGTCCTGGAATTCCGTATGTAGACCAGGATGGCCTCAAACTCACAGAAATATGCCTACCTCTCCCTGCTTCCCAATTGGCTGGGATTAAAGGTGCCGTCCTGCCCCCTTAAACTAGATTTTAACGTGTGCTTATTCAGTTCATGGATGTAGCCAACCATTAATTCAATAGGTATCTGTTGAGCCAGGTTCTGGAGATACAGCTGTGAACCTGGACTTTTTTTTTTTTTTTTTTTTTAATGTGTGCATGAGTGAAACCGCCAGAGCCAAAGTGGCCCCGTGGAGGTCAGAGGACAACTTTCATGAGTCCATTCCACCTTCTTGAAGCAGGGTTTCTTGTCTTATGTAGTTCAGGCTAGTCTCTGTCAACACTTTCAGACTTCAGCAGCGTTATAAATGAGATTATAGATGTCAGGTTTCTCTCTTGATTCTGAGGATTGCATTTGTTATCAGGCTTGCTAGGGCAAGTGCCTTTGGTCATCTCACATTAATTTAGGCAATCTTCATGATGATATGATAAAAACCCAGTATGGACCCCTAAAGGTGAGCTTTCTAGGTTTGTGGCTTTTTCCTCCTCCTCCTCTTCTAAAATTTTGGCCAGAGCCTTGCTCTGTTGTCCAGGCTGTGCTTAGACCCTCAAATTCAATGGACCTTCCCACCAGTCTTCCGAGAAGCAGAAGCTACTCGCATGCCATCTGCCTTCTTGCAGTCTGCTAAAGTGAGGTAGATGAGGTGTGCCTACCATCCCACCCAGCCGTTTGGGAGACACCCTCCAGGAAGGTCCCACCCTGACCCTGCATCCTGCCCTGGGTCGCCTCTTATCTGACATCTGTCTCAAGATGCCCTCCCCTTCCTTTCCTCCCAGCCAATAGTCAAGCCAGCTTAGCCTCCTCCCTCCCTTTCCCTCTTCCCCCTCCAGCAGTCTGAACTTGGATGCTTCATTTTTATCAGGGCCTCAGGGCCTTCCTTCTATCTTATCCTTAAGTAGCAGGCCCGTCCCTTCTGAGAACTGGGGAGATCCAGGCAATGGGACAGAATTCTGAGCTGCCCCCAGCTAGGCAGATAGCAAGTCGCTAGCTCCCAGCCCTCCCTCACCTTATTTTATCACATGTGTATCCTTGCTCATTGTACAAAAATTAGAAATTAGATTCAGAAGAAAGGGGTCCTGTTCTCCTTTTCAGTACTGTGGATGGAACCCAATCCTTTCACAGACCAGGCAGGAGCTCACCGTTGGTCTGCACCCCACCCAGGCCCGTCTCCATTCTCACCACCAAAGAAGAGCCATCATGAGACTTAAGAATAGCTCTACATTTCTTTTTCCCACACAGTGAGGACGTCTTAAAGCAAATTTTAATCTTGATGTTTTTGTTAGAACAATGCAGCAAGGTAAGCCAGGACCGGTGAGCAGAGCTTGTAACGGAGGCAGGGGCAGGAAGATCGACAGTTCCAGGCCAGTCTGAGATATATGATGATAGAAACCCCGCCTTGAAAAAAATGAATTTAAACTCCAGTTTATGGTTGGAGGGCTGGGGAGACAGTTCAGTCGGTAGCATGCATGAAGGACTGGGCTCCTTCCCCCACTCTGCGTAACTCAGAGAGATGGTGCAATCCCAGTGCCTGGGAGGTTGAAGTAGAAGGATCACAAGTTCAAGGGCACCCTGGGCTATTTGTTGAGTTTAAGGCCTGCCTTGGGACCCTGTCTCAAACAAACAAACAGACAAACAAATAAAACGTATTTGACAGCACTATTTCATACACAGAGCAGACTAAAATAGACAACAATTTTACAGACAAAACTGATGAAACTTTTTCTTTGGATTCTGTAACCATGTTATACAAACCAACTATGTGTAGTATGGCTAAGTCTATACTAGAGTAGGCTGGGCCACAGTGGTGTCACATTCGTTTATTCCTAGCACTCAGGAGGCAGGTACAAGCAGATCTGAGTTTGAGGCCAATCTGGTCTATAGAGTGAGTTCCAGGATGGTGAGGGCTACACACAGAAACCCTGACTCATATATATATATATATTAAGTTAAAAAATAAATAAATTGCTAGAGTGGTCAAATTTTGTTTCCCTGTTTGTTTCCAAGGTTACTTTTGCTTTCCTGTCTCCCCTTTGTCAGGTTGGTACTGAGCGTGGTCCCACCACTCAGAAGTGGGGTATACAAAGTCTGGTGTGGTCAACCAATCACAGTCTTCCAGCTGCCTTCCTAGGTCCTTCCACCTCCCCAGAGTTACAGCATTAGAGCCTAGTACAGCTTTCTCCAGAATCACCTCTTGTCAAATTGTGATCTTTATTACAGACAGAGAGAGCTCGGCAAAAGGACGGACCTCTAACCATATGTAAAAACGTACGAAGTACCTCTCCTTGAACATGACCAGATTTAGTGTGAAAATGGTCAGAGCTCTCCCTGCCTTCCAGTTTCCTCCTTCCCTCCCTTCACACTCCTTTTTTCATTAGTTGTTTTTATTTGTTGTTGTGTGTCTGAGCACTCAGGAGCGTGGCACCTGTGTGGAGGTCACATGACACCTTTGAGAGCTGATTCTCTCCTCCCACCGTGCATTCCAGGGAAGGGACTTGGGGCCTCAGCTTGGAGGCAGACACCTTTGCCCAATGAGCCCCACCTCCACCCCCAGCTGGCTTTACTTGTTTTTATTCTATTTTATTGTGTTTTTTTGAGACAGGATTTTTCTGTTTTTCAGCCATGGCCGTCCCCAAAATTGCTCCGTAGAATAAGCTGGCCTTGAACTCAGACATCTGTCTGCCTTTGCCTCCCGAGTGCTGGGATTAAAGATGTGCACCACCACTGCCCTGCATTATTTTATTATTGTACCACTGTGCTTGGCTGTTACGTTATTGTCGAGAAATAAAATTCGGGGCTTTGTGTTTGCTAGGTCAGTGATCACTGAGCTACAACCCCTAACTCTAGTTTATTTCATTTTTGCAAGTGAAAAAAAAAATAATAATTACATCTAATTTCTAGCCACGTGTAGTGACTGTGCACACTTGTAAATCTCAACCTGCAAGAGGCTGAGTCAAAAGGAAAAAAGTCTGAAGCAGGAAAATCAAATGTTCAGGGTCAGCCTAGGCTGTACAGAAAAAAATAAAAAATAAAAACACAACAAAACTATACAAATACAAAATTGAAAATAAAAAAGTCCCACTTCTAATTGGAGTTTGGTTTACTGCCTCTACTTGTTTCCTTCCCTCAAGAAATACAGTTTTGTGATTTTTCTCGTAGACATGTTTGTTTATATCAAACAAGTAAACGCACAGACCGGAAGAGTTCAGCTTTACTCACCAGCAACCACAGCCGAGTTGGTTTGCAAACTCGGGTTCAGAGCGCCACCTAGTGTTAAAGCACTAGAGATGGCACAAAAGGCACCAAAAACACCAGATCGGAAAAGTTTATTATTTTATCTATACTCTGTCCTGGCTCTTAACAAGAATTCTGCTGTTTTCAATGTCCAACTGTGGAAAGAATGACTTTAAAAATTGCTTTTATTGATGTGTTCAGGTAATATATATCAGTGCACCACAGAAGCCAGAAGACCATGTTAGGTCCTGTGGAAATTGAGTAGCAGACAATTGTGAGCTGCCATCTGGGTGTCGGGAATGGAACCTGGATCTTATGGAAGGGTATTCAGTGCTTAGACTCAAAGGACTAGTCTCTGGGCACTAGTTACAAAGATTTCTTATTCCTTATTTTATATTTTTAAGTTTTTTGAAACAGGGTTTTCTCTTCATAACAGCCCTGGCTGTCCTGGAACTTGCTTTGTAGACCAGGCTATCCTCAGACTCAGAGATTCACCCGCCTCTGTCTCCTGAGTGCTGGGATTAAAGGTGTGGGTCACCACACCTGGCTTTGGTTACGCAGATTAAGCCATACACGCGGCGTACACAGGCTTTTGCCTAGCCTAGCTTGACAAATGCTTGCTTGCCATACAACTTCACCACGTCTCCACTGCAGGGTTCAAACCACTTCCTAAAGAAAAAGCTTATGAATCTGTTCAAAATAGTATATATTTAAATTTTATTTAATTTCACTTTATGTGCATTGGTTGGCTTGAGGGTATCAGATCCCCTGGAACTGAAGTTACAGACAGTTGTGAGCTGCCATGTGGGTGCTGGGAATTGAACCCAAGTCCTTTGGAAGAGTAGACAATGCTCTTAACCACTGAGCCATCTCTCAGCCCCCTCAAAATAATATTTTTGAATGAGAGTTGTGTGGGGAATTTAACCTTGGTTACTGCAGTCTTCAAGCTTCCAAAATGGGGAGTCTTTGCTTATCCCCCATCCTCTAATCATGCTGCTGTCATCCCATCCTTCCCTTCCAGTGAAAGGAACGAGAACCGACTCAGAGACAAAGAGTGAAACATCACTTTAATTTTGTGTCTTCAGATTATGTTTCCTTGGTTTTTTGCTAAACATATTTTTAAAAAAAAAGCATCATGTTAATACACACACTTTCTCATGGTAGTTCTCTAAGACAGGGGAGATACCGAACACACCCAGTCTCCAGTCACGCTGACTCTGAAATAGTGCAGAATGCTAAGGGCTGTCTGTTCGCCGGAGCGATGAAGCGTACAGCTGAAGCCCATGGCTCCTATTTTTAGGTGAACAGAGTAGCTCACGGGCTTGTGCGTTGCCTCAAGACCCCTGCCTATGCTCAGTTCCGGAAGCTAAACCTTTGGTTTCCTGACCGTTGATCCAGAGTATAGCTGTTCACCCATCCCTGCTCAGTGTGCTGTTAAGAGTCAGTGGCTTTAACTCAGCACTTGGGAAGCAGAGGCAGATCTACTTTTGAGTTTGAGACCATCCTGGGCTATATACTGGCACCCCGTCTCAAAAATATAAAAAAAAAAAAAAACGTCTAAAATGTGTATTTGTGGGGTTCTTTTTCCAGATACCCTCCAATCTAGGGCTCACTGGGATCTTCCTGTTTGCGTTGTTTTGTTTAAATGAATTTAAACATCACCATGTGATAGAGTAAATTAGCTTTGATTTCCCCTGTTCTCGCCATAGGGTTTTGTTCCACGATTGAGAACTGGCCAGGAAACAGACTCAGCTGGGAACCTGTTCACTGCTTAGCCGTGTCTCATGCTAAGTGGGCCAGGGTGTGCTAGTGGAGTGACATTAGTTACTCATGTAAGTGCTTAGGCGAGGGGGTGGACAAGGAAGCCATGCTCGGGAGACTGTAGGGCAAAGAGAAAACGTGGGCACCGAGTTAGGACAAGGTAGCTTACAAGGTATGAAAACAGTGGGTACATAGGGACTACAGATCTATCCCCCTGGGAATGAGCGCCCCATCCGAGGCACAGCTGCACTTCTGCACCCTCATGTTGGGCAGGCTGACTACCTGAGGCCTAGTCCTGCCTCCCTCCTTGATGCTGACAATCATGGGCAGGGAGGTCATCTCGGAGGCAATGCACTGCCTCGGCCCCAGAAACGGCCACCTCGTGGTCAGGGACTCCGGTGGCTGCAGGCAGCTGCCCACACACTCGTAAGTCAGGAAACCTGGGGGTTCTAGGATCCAGTTCTCGGCCCACTTCAACCCCTGCAGGTCCAGGTACATCTCCTGACGACAGCATCGAGTGCCTTCAGTCACCGGGGCCTCAGGGTCACAATTGCCTTGAGCTCTGTGGGGGTGAGAGATCAAAGGTCACCTGACAGGGCTGAGGTCAGGAGCACCTAGGAGGGAGACTCAGCCTCCCTTTCTTAAGGTAGTCGAAGAGAACGTGTGAAGGATGAAGAATGGACACAGAAACATCTAGAACAGAAAGCCAGCCACTGCTCACTAAGGGTCTTAGCATGCCAGGACCCGGCTAAGGGTGTCCTATGTGTTATCTCAGGTGATACTTCCATTCCGTCCTTAGAGAAATCATGGAGGACATTCCAGTCTTGTGCTCAGTGACGTGGCAGAGAACTTGGTGTTGAGGACCAGTGAAAAGCAGAGCTAGATAGAACCTAGCTTCATGACTCCCCACTTGGCCTCAGGGCCCAGTATCCATGGGTGACGGATGTTGGTCACATGGCCTTTGCATACGACCTCTACACGCCCTCCTATAAGCTTCAGGCCATCACTTGGTTCCTTGTAATACCTAATAAGGCTGAGCATGGTGGTGCATGCCTTTAACGCCCCAGGACTCAAGAAAGACAGGCAGGCTGATCTGTAAATTTGAGGCCAGACTTACCTACATAGAGAATTCCAGGCCAGCTGAAGCTGTCTCAAAACAAACTAACTAACTAAACAACAAGAATATGGAAAAGGTTTTTTTTTTTTTAAAGTACTCACTGCTGGGCATAGTGAGGCATGCCTGTAATCCCAGCACTAAGGAGGTGAAGGTAGGAAGATAATTAGTTTCTGGTCGTCCTGAGGTATGCAGGGAATCAAGAGCAGCCCAAGCTGCAGGAAACCCTTGCCTCAAAATGCCAAACAAGAGCTGGACTTTGCTCAGTGGGGAAAGTGCTGGCTGCATAAGTCTGAGAGCAGCCCAGGTTCAAATCCCCGGTGCCCACACAAGGCATGATCTCTGTGCTGCTACAGGAAAACAGAAAGTGGGGAAAGGAGAAGCTCACACACAAGCTAGATATCAAGTAACCAGCTGCCCCTCTCTCAAACAGGATGTAAGCTGAAGACTTGTGAGGCTCCTGGACCATGTTAAAGGTTATCTTTTGACTACTGCATGCACACACACACCATATACACACACACACTACATAACCACATACACACCACACACACAGGCCACATACCCACACACCCACACATCCTCCTAGCCCCCCCCACTCACATTATATACTCATCAGAAGGAGGGGGTGGGGAGTTGGGATACTATGATCAAGACACATTGTATGCAAGTATGAAATTGTTAAAAAAAAAAAAAAGTAGTTTTAAACAACAACAACAACAGAAGTATATACAGGTGTGCAGGGCCGGCAAGAGAGCTCAGCAGGTACAGCGCTGGCCTTGCAAAACTGATGCCCTGAGTTGGATTGGAACCTGGAAGCCACATGAAAGTGAGAGAGCAGAACGAACTCTACAAAGTTGGCCTTTGATTTTCCCATGCTCACAGCTCCACACGCCACACAATAGTAACAAACACAAATGTTTAAAGTACATGCTTAATAAAACGGTTTTGTTTGGGTTTTTTGTTGTTGTTGTTGTTCTTGTTTGTTTGAGACAGGGTTTCTCTGTGTAGCCTTGGCTGTGTAGCCTCGCTTTATAAACCAGGCTGGCCTCAAACTCACCGAGATCTGCCTGCCTCTGCCTCCCTAAGTGCTAGAATTACAAGCGTGTGCCACCACACCCGGCTTAAGGGTTCGTTTTTTTGTTTGTTTGTTTGGTTGGTTGGTTGGTTGGTTTTGTAGTTTTGAGACAGGGTTTCCCTCTATTGTCCTGGCTGGCCTCGAACTCCGAGATCCTCCTGCCTCTGCCTCCTGAGTCCTGGGCCTAAAGGCGTGTGCCACCACCGCCCGGCTTGAAGTTAAATTTCTAAACGCACCTCTAGAAATGGCTCATCTCCTGGAGCAGCCTGCACAGTCCGCTCCTAAGCTGGTCCAAAAACCCGGGGGTTGGGAGGGGGAGGATGACCCAGTCTAGCGTATCCCCAGCCACGTGACTTCCAGCCTACCCGTAGTCCTTGAGGTCCAGCGTGTGCAGCTCCAGCTGCGGCTCGCCCCGCCCCTCGCCGCCCGGCGGCCCCTGCTCTGCGAAGCGGACCAGCTTGTGCGCGCTCCAGGTCCCCGGGCCCAGGTGCTCCCGCTGCACCGACACCTGCAGCAGCAGCGGCTGCCTCGGCCGGCTCAGCTGCTGCCAGAAGTTCACGGCCTCCGTCACGTCGAAGGCCTTCCAGCCGCTCTCGTGGACGGACACCAGCCTGAGACACAGCCCGGGCGTCAGGGGAGGCGGCTGGCAGGCTGCCAGTGGCCCCTGGAGGCTGTCCCGCCCTGTCCCCACCCCTGCCGGCCGGGGCTCCCCTCCCCCAGCAGGGCCGAGCTCCCGACCCCGCCCCGCCCCCCAACACACACACACACATACACGCACGCGCACACACACACACACACACACACACACACGCACTGCTGCAGGCTGTACCTGGAGTCGATGAGGGCGGTGCGGTTGGAGCCGTCCTCGCGGACTCTCAGCCACTCGATGGTGACCCGAGCTCGGGCACTGTATGGGGACAGCCTCTCGTGCCTCCGGAGGGCAGTTCTGGGGACCGGCTCCTGGAACAGCCGCAGCACGGCCTGCACCAGCTCGCTGTTAGGCGGCAGCCGCCGCTCCATGCCGAACACTAGCAAATGCGTGGAGGTCTCCGACACCAGGAACCTGCCCGCCACCTCTGTGGACGTGGACAGAGTCAGCCGGGCCTCCCACTGCCCACCACCTCTGTGGACGTGGACAGAGTCAGCCGGGCCTCCCACGGGAACCATTAGCCCTCTAGATTGGCAGGGCCACTGTGGAGGGAGTAAGCTCGGGAGTAAGCTAGCAAAGCCAGTTACTTAAAAAATCCAGGGAGAACTTACTCTCTAAACCTCCCCAACCAAACACAAAGAGCTCTGGGACCCAGAACTAATGATGCGGTAGAGAGTGGGGTCCTCAAAGGTGCCTGGCCTCGAGTTTGGTGGTATCTTGAGGACTGATCTCAGCCTTCAGGGAGAGGCTACCCAACATCTCATCAGCTGGCTACCTCTGTTCTCTGGGTTTTGTTTTGTTTTGTTTATCTGCTGGACAAGGTTTCTCTGTATAGCCCTGGCGTCCTGGACTAACTTTATAGACCATGTTGGCCTTGAACTCACAAAGATCCGCCAGCCTCTGCCTCCTTGAGTGCTGGGATCACAGGTGTGTGCCACCGTGCCAAGCTTGTTTGTTTGTTTTTAACCCAAAGTAGCTTCAACCAGTAACTCATCTCAGCGTTCAAAGATACAGTCCCTCATGGTCCTACATGGTAAGGCCAGAAGTCACACTTCTGTCTCCAGAGTAGCTGGGTCCATGCTACACCTAGCCATAGCTTGTGATTCTGCTTTCCCCTGGTCTCCTCTTCTCTGGGTGTGGGCCTCGCCTGATCTACCTCCTCCTGATCTTGAGAGTGCTCAGCGTACCGTCAGAGCCTGGGGTCTAGGCCCAGCTATCCCCCAAGGCCACACACACACACACACACACACACACACACACACACACACGTCCACTGGCATCACCAGAGTGGGCATGGTCCATCTGCCCTCTCCAGCGACCAGGGACAGCAGGAGGGCTCACCTCGAAAGTTCTGGCTGAACCTCTTGCCTCGGGAGCGGTCAGCGTGACTCCGATGCAGCAGGGCCACGTACTGGGACCTCACGTGGTTGGGGATGGCCATCCCTTCCACGTCCACCCTGTCCAGGGTGGGGGCCTGGCTGAGCTGCAGCTGCTGCAGTAGACGGCCCAAGACCTGCTCCTCCATCACGGCTGCCCCAGGGCCAGCCAGGGGCAGCAGCCAGAGCACCCAGCAGAGCCACAGCGGCAGCATAGTAGGCCCGGAAGAAACCTGTGCGTGGATGTGTGTGCCCCTGGAAAGCTCTTGGGGCCTCGATGTTCTGCCGCAGGCAGGCTGGGCCCGTGCTGGCCTTCTTTATAGCTGGGGTTGGGGGCAGGGAGAGAGGACAAGAAAGGTCACACCCCTGGGACCTCCTGGGAGCTCAGCACCAGACAAGCCCCTGAGTCCCGAGGAGGGGCTGTCTAGAAAGGGTACAAAGAGCTGTCTGGAAGACACTCGGGCCAGGGTTTCTGGCTGTGGGGCCACTGGCGCTCTATAAGACTGTTCACGCCTGTTGGAGTTCCCTGACAGTGTGGCAGTTCTGTTTTGTGGGAAAGAGAATTCCTGGGAAAGAGAGAGTCACTTTCACCAGCTGTTGAAGTCTCCTGATTCTTAATAAACGTATATATACTGTGTTACCTGTGTAGCCCTGGCTGGACAGACACTCTCAGACTTTTGACAGTTCTCCTCCCTTTATCCCCTGAATGCTAAAACTGAAAGTGAGCACCACTGTGCTGGACCTGTTTAAGACTCTTGAAGACTTCTCCCGGAGGCCAGTCTAGGTCTAAGTTTGTCTGTGGAGGAGAAAAGAGGGACCCACTGGGTCCGGTCACTTTCACAGTTATCTTGGAGTCAAAGGAACTCTATCCTTCAGTTACCCCACAGGTCCATCAAGGTTCATCACGGTCCTTATTCCACCCCAACCCACCAGGTCAGAGAAAGACAGGTGATGCAATTAGACATCTTAGTAGCACAGCTTCAGGTATAATGTAAAGCCTGCCATGTTTGCTCTCCAAGGGTCACAAAATGCTCCCCTTCAGACAGCAATTCCTTCTGGGAGGAGTCACCCACTGGGCTCAGAACACGAGAACTCAGGCTTCCACCTTGCCCATGGTTACAGAATTAGGGGCAGAAACCTTCAACACAGAGGCCAGATCTGTCCAGAGGCGTGCTCAGTCCACAGCCACAGGTCAGGCACCTGACTGCCCCCACTTCTCCCACGTCAGGACAGCTGGGCCTCGAGGTTTAGTAGGTGCTTGGCCTTCTAGGACTTACATTGTCGGCGCCTTGTTTTTCTCATCTAAAGAAGAAGGGACAGTGACACCATCTGTTTCATAGGGTTGGCATGAAGGAAAAGTGAATGGACACAAGGTCCGGACCTTACAAAATGCTAGAGAAGAATTTGCTTCCATTGTCAGCCCCTGGAAAGCTGCCTTCTCAGCACTGGCTTTCCTGTGGCACCTGGGGGTGTAGCTCAGCATGACTAATGTATGTGAAGCCCTGGGCTCAATACGCAGAACAGCACTTGGGAGGCGGGGGCGGGAGGATCAGAAGTTCCAGGTCATCCTCAGCCAGATATTCAGTTCCAGGTAACCCTGGGATATACAAAACCCTGTCTCAAAATAAATACATAATACATGCATGCATGCATGCATGCCTATATGCATGCATGCCTGCAGCAGCAGCAGAACTTTGCTTGAGTGCTCGTATGTGCCCGGCCCCTTTCCAAGCTGGGAGCATGGATCCACACAGCCCTTAGGAGGCTGAAAGATCCTCAAGTGCACCTTTCAGATACGGGTGAGATGGCGGACAGTCACCTGTCACAGCACACGGTTGGTGGAGGCCTTAGGGCACAAATACAGGCATCTGTCTCCTGAGGCCTCTTCTGGCTCAGAGATCTAAGTGTGTGCAAAGGAAGTCCTTCCCGTAGCTTAGGTTCTCCCAGGGGGTGAGCAATGACCACAGAGGAGTAAGGGCCAAACGGTCTCGAGGGCAAGGATCGCCTCTCTGTCTTGGGGGCGGGGGACACTGGCCCCTGGGAATGCCGTGTTTCCTATTAAAAACAAGTCTCTCTGTCTTCCTCAGACATCCCTGATAGAAGAGAAAGCCCTCTTGAGCTCAAGGTCAGAACTGACTCTGGTAACAGCTCAAACTGTCACGACACACACATACACAAGCACACACACACACACACACACACACACACAAGCACACACACACAAGCACACACACACACACAAGCACACATTCTCATAGAAGTTTTATCGTGGTAAGTAGTGTGGGCTTAGAACTTAGGGGTAGAAATAACAATATCACGCTTTTAGCTTTGTTTTTTTTGTTTTGTTTTTTGTTTGTTTGTTTGTTTGTTTGGAGGCATGGTCCCACTACATAGCCCAGGCTAGCCTTTAATGCAGAGTCCTCCTCTGTCAACCTCCCTGGTGCAGAGATTATAGGCGTATATACGATCATGCCTGCCATTGTTACCTCTTTATCCTTACAATACCCCGGGTGGACAGGGAGGCTGTCAGTATTGTTTCCGCTTTATAGATGAAGACACTGAGGCACAAAACTACTACATGACTTGCCCAAGGGTGGACAAGGAGTACCAAACGGTTATTTGAAGGGAATAACGTAGAGTTTAGGTCACGTGATAGGCAGGCTGAGATAAGAGGAAATCTGGAAATCCTGACGGCTGGCTTCGGAGAGGGAACTCTCAGCTGCAGACCGGTGACTTCAGCTGTCCTCTTCTTGCTCAGCTTTGTTCCCAAGGAAACAGGGTAATGCCATGGGAGGGATTCCAGTACCTCATTTTGGGGCTTGGGTAGCTCAGTGGTTGAGCGCTTGCCTAGTATGTTGAAGGTCCTGGGCTCCACGCCCCAGCACAGCAACACAAAACACAAAAACTGATCCCGTCTGGAGCTCACATCTCCTAATGAAGATCGCCTGAAATACAAGACCCGCACTCCGATTCCAGCCCAAACAGGCCCTCGCTCCTTCACAAACATGGCTTTCTTCAAAAGGAACACCGGCTGCCTTTCTTTGCAAGTGATTAACAGGGAAGGGACTTATGGGATGCTAACATTTGGGGCTTTCATCAGGCCAAAAGGCACAGAGGTGTCACATTTACAGGCAACCAGGACCTGTGGCCCTTAGTCCCTGGAAGCTCTTCTGGGCTGGTGTCCCATAAATATGCAGGAGTCCACCACCCGACCCTTGCCAGGAGGTGAGCGGAAACCCTGTGGATTATCATCACCGGATGGTGTAAAAATGTAACACCCACGGCCCTGCTGTGGTTCGATAAGATCTTCTGTCCCAGAGCCAAAGGACAGGCATCTGTTGTCGCCTTCCTGGCTTGCAGATGCCACAAGGGCCCTCTACCCCCCACCTCATGGACACTTTGGGTCTGAGGCCCTCTGGGGCACCCCAAGTGACCAAGGTACCTCCCCCTACCCTCTAGCAACAGAACGGCTAAGCCCTGGAGACATCGGTTTCTAGAGGAGATAGTAGAAAGTTGGCAGACCCCTTCTCTGCTACATTCCTTCTTCTGCACTGGGACAGAGCCAAGTTCAGAACGGGGCCCTGGGGAGAACAGGAACTGCCCAGTCGTTATTTCAGCTTTCTGAGTCTGCCCCATGCTTTGTAGAGGTGTGTCAGCTGCAGGAGTGTGTCTGCTTACCTCCGACAAACACCCCTCTTCAACTTAAAAAGAAGAAAAAAGAAAACAAAACAAAAACCCTGAAATACCCAGGAGCCTCTTTAGGGATTTAGAATTCCTGGGAATGGAAGCTGCAAGGGTCCTGGGTGCTCTTAGGGTAACCTCTAGGTGGTCCACACTGGGAAACTGAGCCCCCATTCCCAGCTTAGGAGACCCTCCCTGAATGGAGGACCTTGGACATGTTCAGTGGCAGTGGATGACTGGTCCAGACACAGCCATCCTTCTTCCCCTGCTAGTTTGTAGAACCAGACACATTAGAGCAAAGAGTGACTAGCCAGACCATGTAGAGAAAACCAGTCTCAGCGGAAACACAGCTTCCCAGAGTCACACAGGACCAATACACAGCCAGACGCTCCAATTCAAAGGCCACATTCCTCCCACACCTCAAACTATGTCTAGTACTGGCTTCATTGGCAGGAGCCATCCATCAGCTCCAGGAAGCTTGGGGACTCAGACAGCTCAGGGTCCGGTCCTGTTGGGGGCAGGGCAGTGTGAGAAGCAGACAGAAAAACAGAGGGTCAGTCTTCCAGACTCCCGAGGCTTCCCGAGACCCAGGCCAGGGTTCCTGGATGTGGATTGCCAGCAGCCTTCAGAGTTATGTTAGGGGGAAACAGAGTAATTGGGCAATTAGCCAACCTCCCAAAGTAGGATGTGGATGTGGATTAGGAAACTTCTACAGTGGGCAGATCGCTCAGGTCGGGGGAGGGTAGCTACTTTTTTTTGTCATGCAAAAGCCAGGCCTCCCCTCATATTGTGGATCTGAGTGGGACAGAGTGTCTGGGGTGGAGCCAGGTCAGGCCTGAGAAGCAGAAAGCTTGTCAAACAGCTCTGCTGGTTCTGTGTAGATTAGACCTCTCTCCCAAAGACTTCTAAGGCGGGGACAGCCCAGACTGTTTATGAACCCCAATTCTTTGGGATGTTGAAGATGTGTTCTTCCAGCTCCATGCCCACCCCTCGGGTCCCTGCCCTTTGGAACATGTAAGCTGGGGATGTTCTGAGCGATCACAGAAGTGTAAAAAGACAAGGACTTCACGCTACCACCGTGCATTTCGTAGGGCTGATGCACAAGCACCAAATTCTCCCAGCCCAGTTCCCTCCATCCCCTGGGGCCCACAGTCCAGGCCAAGCCATTCCACACAGTGGGACATCGTGGAGCCTCCACGCAAGCCACCTCTGAGCTTCAGGGTAGGCCCTGTGCTTTCCCTTTCCTGCTGGGTCACCTGTCACTTCCCACCAGGCAGGTGTGTTCCAGGAGGAGCCACTGAGTCACCTGTGAGACCTGCGGGGTCCCTGCTCCCCAGCCTGGCACTCTGCCTGGATTTCACTAGGGTCCAGGAATCAGAAGGTAGGGCATTCTTTTGTTTGGAGAAATAGGGCAGAGGGGACAGAGGTGTGTCAAAGCAGGCCAGTGAGACAAATGCCTAAATCAGATAAGATTGGTTCTGTTCGGCTACAGCCAACCCAGCCCTTCCAGAGCATGCTACCTCCTCAGCTTCCT